ATTTGCCCAGCCGTTTCGGAGATTACCCGGAACGAACGCGGCTTGCGGACAGACAGACAGGCAAACATTTTTAATGCGTTTTTCGTTATCAGCAACGCAAATACATCATCTCCCCGAAATCTGGTATTATCATTTGATATTACAGTCACTCCAATCTCCGTATCCTTATTCCGCGCTTTTAAACGGCGTAACGGTTGGTCCAATTTGCGCTAACGAAGTTTTCGGGCGACATTTCGTTTTATTGTGTATAGATAAATATATATAAATAGAAGATTTAATATCCTTACAATTATCAACTTTTCATCGATTCATTGGTTTGCTGAACTAAATACGTCATTCCAACATATGTCGTTGGCAGAGTATGTAAACATTTATTTATCTAACATTGTACAGGTTTGCTCGCATGTTTATCGAATGCAATTCACACATCGAGATACTAACAAGGGCTAACATAGCTCTGATGACGTAATTACTATGTAACTAAAATAGTAATATTATTGTTTACCTTCTTACTAATGTAAATGAATTTTTTTGGAAATTTAGGTGGATGTTAGAGTAGCCTAAACTGAACGGATCTCTATGAAATTTGTCATAGATGTAGAGGATAGTATGGAACACGTAGGCATGCTTTTGTTTTATTTAAGAACAGAGTCGCGGGAAAAGGCTAGTGTTACAATAACATAATAAGATTTAACGTGTCTAAAAATAGGAAGACCTAAGGAAGTATAAAATGTTTGAAAGAATATATGCCTAAGGTTATGAATTCAGGTTGAGTACAGAAGAGTACATTCTGTGCCCACACTATGTAAGAACAAGGGTCGGATGATATGGTGTGCTGTACACGGAGCGTAGTTAATACCTATTTATATCCCCGTGTATGGCATTTAGTAGTACTTGTATCTCACTATTATAAATGCGAAAGTTTAGATGGATGTTTGTTAGTTTGTAGTGAAAACTGATGATACTGCTGAACGGAACGCGAAATGCTTAGATGTAGAGGATAGTCTGG